AAGTTTGAATTCGATATCTTTAAAACTGAGAGACTAGTTCGCGTAGAAACAGACAGACGGACAGACGGACGGACAGACAGACGGACAGACGGACAGACGGACAGACGGACATGGCTATATCAACTCAGGAGGTGATCCTGATCAAGAATATATATACTTTATAGGGTCGGAGATGTCTCCTTCACTGCGTTGCACACTTTTGACCAAAATTATAATACCCTCTGCAAGGGTATAAAAATATATTGCAGATTAAAATATTGAATAACTAACTTTGTAAACACTTGTAAAAATAAATATTATTAAAGTTAAGAAACCATAGTCTATTTTATATCATAGTACTACTTCAAATTAAAATAATCTCCTATACCTATAATGATTAATTTATCTTTTTTCGGTGTCTGCCTAACAGAGCCATAAGTTTAATTAGACGGCGAACAGAAATCGCATTAATTACAGCGACAACTTCTGCGTCGCCGCCTTTGCCGCAATGAGTTGTATAAATTGGCCAGGCTGAAAATCCGTCTGGTTTTTGGTCATTCTTCTTGCCACACGATTGCGACAATTGCGGTGGCAATAGGCGAGCAGATTCGGCCCGGCCAGCCGTTCACCGCCTCTTGGCCAGATCGAATTGACCAATCTTCGACAGGGGCCTTTGGTTTCTCGGTTTTCGGGGAGGGGGGATCTGCTCGGGGGCACTCATTAGACCACTGAACCGTTTGACATTTAAGTGCGACGACCTCACGCATGCGCGCTTCGCTTTGAATTTCTTGTTGGGATTTCCTCAGGGCTCATATCCATGGGCCCAGACACACAGAAAACAATAATGGTTGATATACTTAATAAATTCAAGGTATCTACTTTTGATTGCTTTTAAATGTTACCTAAAAAGTTTTTATTCTGTAGTGATAACTTACTTTTAGTTCTTGGTGACCATACTAATTTGACCAATTTAAATCTTAACAATTTTTTTCAAGTTAAAATTTTGTCATAAATATTATATATAATTACTAAAAGTATTCATTATTATTTTTATTTTAATAATACATAAAAGAGTTTATCTTGTATTGAATCTAGTTGTAAAGTGCTTGTTTGACCATTCAATATTTTAATTAACTTTAAGAAGTAAAAACAGATCTTTAAATATCCCAAATATTTACTAGCATAAACTATTTTTTAGTATTTACTTTATCAAGTTATGTAATTTCCTATAATTTTTCCCAGTGTCCACATATTTGGCTTTCGGCTATCAACAACCTATTGTTTATTTTCCTCGACGGGCTGGCTCGAAGACCTCGGACCTTCAATGCGGGGCCTGCCCATCGCTTATGGGCACACTAAATGCCCCTGCTCACTTATCCACCCCAGGTCAATCAGATCCCAAAATCTAAAGCTAAACGCCGGGCCAAGACACGAAAAATAATTACACAAATTGTGTGTTTCAAATCTGTGTGAGTCCGGTATTATTACCTGAGCTTTAAACGCTTGAAACACTTTCGTTTGAGGAAAATACATGAAAAAAATTGTATAATCAGCATTAGGCAGCGGCAATTGGCAATCATTTCTGGGTACAAATTAAAATTATATTACAACATTTTCTTAGACAACAACAAGAGCCCACTGATTACAGGAGACCAAATCGAAAATGCACTCAACCATCCAGCGAGTTGAAGCCGAAACGGCAGCCAACTAACTAACCGGGCCGAAACTGACCTGCCCGAAAACAGACAGCAGAAATGGCGAGCGGATCGTCGGACTTGGGCAAAATGAAACGAGACGAGGCGAAGGCGGTCGAAAGTGAAAGTTTGTTGTTGTTTAAGCCGCCGGTGCCGCAGCCGTTGCTGCCGTTTCAGCCGTTTCAGCCGCTTTCCGATTTACTGTTAAACGGGGGCGCAGTCGCCGCTGATTGCCGCATTGGCAGCATCACGCGAATTGCAGCCTGCAAATTCATTTGCCGCATCCGAATTAAATAATTTTGATTGCAGCGCCAGCAATCAAATAGAGATCTGTTTAAGGCAGTTGCCACATTTTCAATCCGACTTCATTGATACCCATTTTATTGGGTAATGCTGAAATATCCTAGTTGGAATCATCATTTTCATCTTAAGTCTGGACATCAAAGTGATATGATATGATATATGAGAATGATGAAAGCTATAACATTTCAAGACTCTTAATATGGTATGTGGTATGTAAACACGTGTAAAATAAGTTTTCCATTAAATTCTTCTTTAATCTGCATTATATTTGTTTATTAACTTAGCTTGATTTTATGTAATTTTAACGGTAATAATATCATAACCAATGGAATTTAATGAAGCTATTAATTTTTAAATTATCTAAAAATCCCACGTTATGATGATGATCACGATTCTCTTTTTATCTTAAGTCTTACTTTTCGGTGTACATTTTTTTGACATTTTAATACATGTTAAATTTTTCATAACATAGTAAAATTTAAGGACTATATTAAGTGAACTGAACAGAATAAAATATAATTTATTGATCTAAGTTCATTAAGATTAGCTTTGACCATTTTGTAGTGGTTCCCATTAACTTTAATTTAATTTTCTTGCTGCTATATTGAAAACAAATCCTTAAATATTGTTCATACCTCAGCATACCCTTCACTTGGCGGAGACGTCATCAATCCCCTGGTAATGGCCATTGCCAAATGCGGCCAACCCCGCTGACAACTTGCAACTTCCTGCAATGCGACAAAAAGCGAAAACCAAACCCGTTGGCCGCAACTTCAAGTGGCATCTTCGGGCCACAAACAACTCAGCTCTTTTCCACATTTTCTCTCTGATTTTTTGTTTTTATTCGTCATTTCTTCTCCTTTTGTGCTCATCAATTTTCAGTGCCACCAGCCAAATGGCTGATTAATATGATCCGATTCGGGATGCCACTGGACCGTGTTATATAATTGATCTTTTGTTTAGAGACTATAGCTTAATTGAGTCTGGCAAATTGATTAATGGGTTGCAGCTTCATTAAAAATGCCCGACAAAATCATGACACCCATTGAGGGGAAATACACTTTATTAAGGGGATATATCAAGCTGTAATTATGGAATATAGTGATTTTCTGATTCACTGATATATATCATGAGATATGAGCTTAATTAAAGTATTCATTTTAAGACTTTTTAATAACTGTTAAAAATTGGGATGCCAAACTGTATTTAATTTTTAAAGCAATATCAAATAATTACTTCGATAAACAAAGTTATTGAACCACAAAACTGTTAAGGCTAATGGACTATCAAAAATGTTTATTATTGTTATTAAATGTTTATTATATTTATGTATGATGTATCCAAAAAAAAATGCATAAAATAAATGCATAAAATAATATTTATTAAAGCAGCATCTTCATGTTAATTTAAGTGTTTTACAAAACACAGAATCGAAACCAACGCAAATAAAACAACAGGTAAAGTCTTAAAGTTATTCACGTTAATCACTTTAAAAACTGATTTCAAGAAAATAATAGCCTTAAGCCTCATATTTGCTGAACTTTATTTTGCTTAATAGAGCGATCAGTCAATCACAGTCTATTTAAGCCACCATTCAAACGGTGAAGTCACATCCAATCAATAGAAAGTGTGGCAAACTTTTCACTACCCACACATTATGTACAGTTGACATAGTTGGTCAAACAGGCAGAATTGTGCGATATGATGACTTAGACATGTTATCGATTCAATGGGCAACTAATTGCTGGCCTAAATGGATGCTTGACTTGGCTCAGAGCCTGGGGCTAAATTGTAAACACCGCGCGACACGCACACACGAAATTGCTCACAAAATAATGCATAAATTTGCATTATAACTCCAGCTGGTAAATTGCCAGACTCTAAACGGTTTCTTTGCATAAATACTTGGCTGATTGCGCTCAGAAGCCCACTTAAATAACTCCCCAAATAACTCCGAAAACATAAGCAGAGATGTGGGTAATGTAAGTGCTCTTCAAAAAATCAATCCAAAGCCAATTAACGAAACTGATTTGCGGCCTTGACCAAAAATCACTTAACAATGCCGTCGACGGCATTTAATAAAAATGCGTTTATGGAATAAATAAACAAACAAAAAGCGATACAACAAACACAAAATACTCAACTGCAAAGAGCAAAAAGTAGAAAGTGTACATGAACTGATTGTTTTGGATTTTTTTCCTGTTGATTTTCAATTGGTTTTGGTTTTTTCAGCTTCACGCACTTCTAAGTGCAGTGGGAAAAATAACAAAAGAGTAGTTAGAGCTTTGTTTTCAGTTGTATAAATAGTAATTCTACTTAATTGTCAGATTCACTGAGCCTGATCACTTTCAAGTTTATCTAAAGTGGAAACTAATTAAATTCAATGAACTTACACTAAATTCTAGTTAAGTAAATATAAATGATTTATAGGCAAATGAAACGGGTTTAGATTAACGTTAAAATAAATTATTAATCTCAATTAGAGCGAACTATAAAGTTAGCTTATAAATGTTAAACAAATGTTAGCAAAATGTTAAGAAATAAGACTTTTATAGCATACTTAGGGGATACACATTAAGGTAAAATACATGTAAATTTAATGTAAAAGATCAAGTAACTAACTAAAGTCGGTAGATCCTCCAAAAACTCTCTACACTTAGAGAAATTTAGAATAGAAATAATAGAACGTGGTCTTGCCTTCTTTTTAGAAGTGTTTCTGTTTGAGGAATTACACCAAAAATGGGTCAAAATCATCCGGCCTTAGCTTTTCACTTTCAGTCTATTTAAAGGCCATGTGCATAAGCCAATGCCAATGGACCATAACCACCACCCAAGGTGTCGCACCTGCTTAGTTCATCTGCCAATGCCAAATGCCAAATGCCAAACTCTCACCATATCTTTTCATGTTTGCACAGGTGCCTTTGCCATTTTCTCTGGGTTATAAACTAAGCCGCTCGAAACACTATAAATAGTCCCGCTGTTATGCGAAATGGCAGTTAAGTCGATTATTAAACCGCAAGCAAAATGAAAAGCGCTCTGTGTGTGTCGTTGGTCCTGCTCCTCCTGGGATTCGCCAGTGCCTATAGTTCAGGCAGTTCGAGTGGCAGTTCCTCGCCCAAGGTGTGTGTCCTGAAGAACTGCGACTGGTACTCGACGACGAATGCCTGTGGCAAGTTTGGTCGCTCCAATCTCTGCAATCGCTTCAAGAACAGCTGCGCCCTGCGATATGAGAACTGCGTCGGTTCCACCACCTACACGGCGGTCAGCCTGTCCCAGTGCTCCGGAATCAGCGAGGGATCCCGAGGAACCTGCGGTGGATCTTCGTCATCCTCATCCTCATCCTCAAACGTTAAGCCCATTATTATACGCAGGGGTTGATTCTTGTTGCTGTTAATACAAATTATTAAACTATTCATATACGAAGGTCTTTAAGATATTTATAGGACTTTTACACCATACTTTTGGCAACAACAGAATCTTATTAAAAAGGCTTACCTTAAATTACCATCTAAAACCTCTAGAACACCCAAAAAAATCATTAGTTTAAAACAACCTTCATTTGCTTAGAAATCATCTATTTGATCTTAAATTTTTAAATAAATAGAGAGCAATGTTTAACAAGTAACAAATTCAATTCCACAAAGCCATTATTGATATTGATTTATGTGTTAAAATGAATATAAATAAAACAATAATACGAAGACATGTTGGCTTTAAGACTCAAGGTTGGAGAGCCAAAATCTATCGCAAATTATAAATCATTGTTTACCCAGCTGACAACTCGCATTATAATGTATTAAAGCAGAATAAATTGTTTTCCGTTTTTCAATACAAATAACAATGGGGTGGTATATAAGTCCGAATGCAAAAAGACCATTTAAATTAGTTAAAAGCTCGATGAAAGCATCTCTATTGGATTGTGTCATATCGGTGGCTATATTTTTTATAAGCGAAAAATAATTTTGGTGTGTCGTTAAATGTAGACCAAACAAATATTTACTTCCTAATAACTGCCCTTTACTAGTTGTCTAATTTAGTAATGAACCTGCGCTTTTACTCTACGACAAACAGGTATAAATATTATTCTAATTACCATAATTAAATTCCTTAATGGAACAAATATAAACATCCTAAACCGAATTAGTAATGCTCTTCAAACCAAAGTCGAAACTAACTTTTATGTTTTGTTTTTTGTGTTAACAGACAGGCTGATCAAGAACTTATATACATACTTATATACATCATTTTACATACTTTTCAAAGAAAACAATATTTCCTTTTACTCTACGAGTAACTAGTATAAATATTGCATTTATTATGGATGGGAATGTAAGAGGTATATTAGTTTTTGATCAGGAACTATACCCGAGTTGAAATGTCCTTCCCTTTGCTTATAATACTGTGAAATTGAGAAATTTACTTTTAACTTAATTAAGAAAAACAAATACCTAAAAGCCTAAAAGTATATATTTTTTAAATTTATTTTAACAGTAAATAAATACATATTTTTAAACCGCTCACGTGAAGTGCCATTTGCGTTTTAAGATGAATTAAGATATATTTACACAATTGCTATAGATGAAAGCGACTTTAAAGACATAAGTATTGAACAATGAATCGAAATAAGTTTCTTTGTATATACATAAATAAGGAGGAAATAATATGGTAAACATATTCCAAGGCCGTCAAAAAAAAAAAGAAAGATTGTGGAGTATAAATAAAGGAGAACGCAGTGGGAAAAAGAATTAGAAATTGAAATGCGTTTGACGTTGGCTCTTCTGGTGCTGATCACTCTGATCGCCGTGGCCACCGAAGCCCAAAGGAATCAGAAAAGGACGAGGGCCAGGAATTTGGTTAGTGGAAGGGTTAATGCCCGAAATGGAATCGCAAGAAGGCGATCGCTGAATGCTCGTAACTCCAAAAAGAAATCGGTGATTATTATTGGCAACGGCAGCAGTTCGTCCAGTAGCAGCTCCACTCCAGCATCCCGCTGCAAAACCAGCACCACCAGTTGCTCTTCCAACTCCAATGTCTGTGGCCGTTGGAGTAACACTCGCAGGTGCGATAAGTTCAAGAACAGGTGCCTCATGGAGCGGGCCAATTGCCTAACGAATGTGTCAAGTGAGTGCTCACCAAATAATTATATAATTATTTAAAAAATCTAATATTATAACCATTAAATACACAGGCTGGAACGTTGTTAATATCGGCAACTGCACGAACATAAGTGTCAATAATACTGGCACCTGTAAGAGCACCTTCTCCTCATCATCGTCGAGTTCAACTACCAATTCTGCACTGGCCAACATTCTTTCCATCATTCTGGGATCATCTTCATCTTCATCTAGGGTCACTCCCATTATTATAAGAAGAGGTTAGGAAGATATCTTACCGAATTATAAATAAAAGATCTACATTATTTCTAAAAAGTTTATTGAACTGAACGGAAACCCGAAAATAAAGTCACAAAGTAATTTCTATAGGTCAAGTAATTTATTATTGACAGATTTAAAATAAATATTATTTATTTACAAACATTTTAACAATTTAACTTTCTTAATACTCCGAAAATACTTATTTGTACTATACAATTTGTCGAGTTAATCAAAGTGCGTTATAAAAGCATTATCTCTTTTTGTAAATTAAACTAATTTTGAAAGCAAAAAAATATTCATTGTACTTCTAAATGAAGTTAATTAAAATGTGTTATAAAAGCCTGTGTGCTTATTTTTTGTTATCAAACCTTATTAGTAAACATTTCCTAGTTTCTTTATGTCGTTTTTACTTCCCATTTAAAACAAGAGTAATTTTGTTAGCCACACAAAGCAAGCCTGAATTGATTTATTCTTAAATTATGCAAATACTTTGAACTTTCACTACCCAAATGTTTCGTAATGACCTATATTACAGTCATACACACAATTATTTATGTGTGTGTGTGAGAGTGTGTTCACTGTGCCATTCTAATTGCATCCGCAGGCGTTCGCCATTCACATCCGCTGTATACAAAAAAGAAAATGGCGAAAAATTGCAAACTAAAAAGCGAAGCTCCATAAATTTACATTGTCCGCATGTACGTGTGCGCCAGTGCGCTTGTCTGCGTGGCCATAACCATAATTCTCCCCCCGGTTTCCCCCCACACCTCCACACCCCCCCACACCCCAAGTAGTGCGATTTATGCGAATGCAATTAAAAAGAGCGAAAAAAGGGAAAATGTTAAAGCATACATCATGGCGATATGAAAGCCATTAAAAGCTAAACGAGTTGCAAAGCAAAACCAAAACCGTTTAAATGAATCACTTTGCTGTCTGATCTCCAATGAGATTGAATGGCAGAATCGGGAAATTAAACTAAGTGTGGTTTTGCGGTAAGTCGACAGCACAATTTATTAAACTAAAAAACAAAGTTTCAATAAATAAGAATACATATCAATAAACGATAAATATTAGACAAGTTAGGGTATTAAAATGAATTAAATGAAATAAGAGGTGCCGAATAAATCACTAGAGGTTTGAATTCGATTATAAAGGTATCCAAAAATAAGCAGTGAAAATAATCCATCGAACTTTCGAACTAAAATCATGTTGTTGAATACTTTCAGACACATTTTTAAGTGATTTCGCTGGCACCCCTGATAACTGATCTATGTGCAAACCCCGGTTCCCCCGATTGCGATGCTTTTCATAATACAATAGGTAAGCACATCAGCCGCTGCACCAAGTTGACCATAAACTGCAAATACAAGAAATGAGTAGAAATGATTTAATTTTAGTTTCAATTAATAATCGAACTATTTAAAAGCTATTGTCCGCCAATCGTTGTTTCAAAAGAGGTAACAATATTTATTTTTGTCTGCTACAGAATCACTAGGGCTTAGAGATCTTTTATAAAGTTTTCTGAAATTCTGCAAAAAAACATGTTCTTGCGGACATAAGTTTTTATTTTACAGAATTTATACACATTTAAATTTGTTTTTAAAACCTTATGAACTTTCACAGCACCCCAATAATGTATGTTTCTAATCGGTTAGTTTCACATTGTCGGTCACTTCATAACTTCAAAATTATGATATTTACAAGTTGATATTAATATATATATTTGAAACTATTTACTTGTCTCTCCCTTGCAGCTGTCCAGAAGATACTGGCAATCGTTGCGATAGTATTTGCATGAATAGATGGCCGCATCGCTTGAATCAACTCCAGTTTGTATTCGGATGCATCTTGGGGTACTTTTGGAGCAGGTCCTTTTGGTGCTCCACAGGCAATAGAAGCTTTTGCGAGCCTCCAGTTGGGATGCCAAACTCAGGATCAATACGGCAGATATCACAAAAATTATGAACTTCATAGTGCCCTTTGATTTGAATCACTTGGATTGATGGCTGGATTGTAACTGCCTACAAACAATTGGTCCCCACAATTATATAGTAGTTACCTTTAGCTATCTCTTTACCGAGCGCAAATATTTAACCTTAACGAAAGTGCTATTCGAGAACAGCAAGCAGGCTTTAAACGTGTTGGGCTTTGGCTTTGTGTTTGCCAAAATCTGGTGGTGGTAAAAGCCAAAGCCAATGTTTGCCCGATTAAATAAAAGGTGACAGCGTTTAGTTAATCAGCTAATGAATAAATAGTGTAGTGAAATTGGAGCAGATGGGTTTCAGTTTCACTAAGAATACATTGCGTAAAGTTTTCAAATCGATTACTGGTCAGATAACTAACATTTGCAGTTTAACGCAAATGTGTAAGAGAAATGAGAGCTAACTGAATGCCAATGTCTCCCATCTCACCCATTTGCCTAACTTTTCAGTGAAACTTTTCTCGTTTCCATTAGTATTATTTGACGAAATTTATTTAATTAACATGTCCTTGGTATACAAATTTCGTGAACTTGCCGAAAACACCTTATATAATTACCCCAGCCCCAAATAAGCCAGGCTAAAGCCAGAGAAATACAATTATCGGAGTGTGGTGGGGCAATTGTGAGTACTCGTAAGTAGAAAAGTTATCGCACTGGCTGCCACTCGTTCTGGCCTTCCCGCTCTCCATGCGTCAGAACCATCAGTCTTCTGCCTGTCCGTCCATCATGCGAGTTGAAAGTCCCCAGTTCCATTCACTTAAAAAAAGTCTTAAATCAAAAATCCAATAGGATAAAAAATATATCTTTCAAATGAAGCACACTGCGCTATCTAGATTATTTACTAATATTTATTATTTAATAGTTCTGTTGTATTAACAAATAAATGTTTATCAAAGAACGATTAAAAATATAAACTACAAAAAAGATTATTTTTTAATAGATTGTAATATTTTAAATTGATTCTTAAAAAATTCTTAAATCTTTTCAAGCTGTACATCGTTTGTAATTGTTTTGTTTAATCATTCAATCCAAGACAAAGATCTTTACAACAAGAGCGTTTAAATCCTTTTGTAAGTGAAATTTTAAAATTTGGTCAACTTTCCAATCACAAATGTTTTTGTTTCTCTTCACAACCATGTAGGGTTTTCTCTCAGTATACTTACACTCGCTACTTTTTCCCATTTCCATTTTGGGCTCCTCGCATTTCCATGTCAGACTTGCGTCGGCATGTCATGTCACGGGCTCATTTCGCTGCAATACCATGTAAAACTGTAAATGTTCCGCCTCCAAAATAAAAATTATAGTACATGCCCTTTTTAATGCCATGTGTTTGTTTCATTACATTATGGGAAAAACACGGATACGGTTATGTGAAAAAGTGTATTCAACATTCGTGCTGCACATGTGAACACGTCTATCTGGATGTATATTTCATACTTTTATTGCTGTTTGCTGTTGTTTTTGGTAGGTTGGTTGCATGCGTTTGTTATTTTTTTCAGTTTTTTATCGCACCTTTGTAGCCCTCCCCTTTGACCTCTTTCTATTTGCCTGGCGATAAAGTGCAGCTTAAGCTCTGGTTACAATTACGAGGGTTTTTTCGTATAAATTGCATTCGCCATGCCACAGCCTTCCCATTTAGCCTGCTCGCCCAAAAGTATGCAAAGTCTTAAAATGATTAATCCGAGGTAGAAATAAAGAGAAAGCGAGGGCTTCAAAAGGAGTGAAAGAGAGGGATTGAAAAAGAGAGGGCTTGAAAGGTAGTAAGAAAGATATGGCTTGAAAGGGAGTAAAAGAGAGGGCCTGCAAGGGAGTGAAGGAGAGGGCCTGCAGGGGAGTGAAAGAGAGGTCGTGAAAGGGAGTGAAAGGGATAGAACCTACAGTGCACTTTAATTAGTTGGGACATTTTGAATGGTTTGCATGTCATGCGAATGGCATGCTTATCGCCATTTGTTGCTATTGTCGTTTTTCCAGTAGCTGTCGCATTATTTTTTTCAGAACTACACAAGGTCAAACACTCTGGCAATAATAATAAAAGTGAATGAAATACCATAAAAAGTTTATTTTTAACATAATTATCGTAATCTCTGCAGCAAGGCTAGTCAAGACAAGGCCCCTCTCATTTTCTCTCTTTTTTTCTTGTTTTTGCCTTTTCCCTGCAGTTGTTGGCTAATTATTTTCCATTTTTGCTTAACTTTGGCTCGCCTTGTTTTCCAAGCAGTTTTCCCTACCCACTTGCTTAATGCGCTTTCTGACATGGCTCTGACATTTTCCGCTGTTTTTCCTGACTTTTCTTCATTTCTTCTATTAATAAGCTTAGGGTTTTTTTCTTGGTGACTTGCATGTCTTGAGCTGCATTTTTGATTCCTTGGTCAACACTTACCATTGCGCTACATTATGCATGAGACGTATTTGTCACGCTAATTGAATAATATTTGTATATAATTTATGGATAATGATAGGGATATTACCGAGAAATTTTAATTGCCAGCTGGTAAATTAAAATTTCATAGCCCACAATCAAGGACATATTATATATGTATACAGCTGATTCAATTCTTGAACCCAGCACATAACCCGTTAATGGCCAAATTAATGCCAATCAATAGTTTTTAAGAATCCCGTCTTAGATAAACAAATAAATCAAATGTGTAGACATATTCCGTATGTAAATATAGTTGTGTCATTTACAGCAATAAATTTCATATTATTTTTAGCTTTATGGGACGATTATTGGGCACATGTCTCCATATTCGACACGAACATGACACCCAGCTCAGAAATCAACCAGCCCGGAAAAAAGAAAAGCAAAACACCACCACCTTCAGGACACCGGTTCCAATTTCCTGTCAATACATCCAAACGGAACCTATCTAGAAATTGGGATACACATAAATAAATAAATCAATTTTATATTTGAAATATGAATATGAAATAAATATTAATTATCGATCGTCAGATCTAAATACTGATCTGACTATCAAAAACAGATTGAACCACATAATGTTCTAAATAAATAATAATACTACACAGAAAAACTGAGATAAATGTTACGAAATTATATGTAAAAAATTTCTAATCCTATTTTTGCATTCACAATTTTTGTTTGATTTCCCCATGTATTATTAAGAAGAGATTTAGATCCTGACAATACATTTGTATTGCTTATAAAAATTATGTTTTCTTTCCGTGTATACCCAAATACATATATATGTATTCACTGAAGTTTCGTGTCAGTTGAGCGTCCGCAAAAACCGATTTTCGGATAACAAAAAAAACAAAGGAAAATAATAATAATAATAAAATGGGAAAAGGGAAAAGGAAAATAAGGGAAACCGGCGCCTGACACATACAAAAAACATTTGTTTGTTATACAGACTAAATGGATGTGAGTGCGTGGGTGGTTGGGGGTGGCTGTAATGGAGTGGAGTGGTTCGAGTGGGGTGGTGGGTGATTTTTCTGCGTCGCACTCACGAATTATCGATAAAACATGCTCCATGGGCGGCGTGAGGTGGCTTTGTCTCATTACGCCCACGACAAACATGCTGGGGAAAACAGGTCCTGCGTTTTCGGGGGCAAGTTGAAAATTGAAAACGAAAACGAAAGCAGGCCCCGAAACTTGTTTTCAGTTGTTTGCACTTTGTTGATTCTCCAATCTTTACGATTTATTTGCGAGCAAAATCAAATTATTGCATGTGTCACAACTTTCATTTGACTCTTGGGGTGACAAAAAGCCCAAACAACCATAAATATATGTATATCTGCTCGTCTATCACCAAAAACGTATTACAAGACCATTTGCCTTTGTGACCCACACCCACGATCTGGCCGTAAATAAAACTTTGTCTTGTCATACTTTCAGTTTCCAGTTAAATGGTTTGTCGAAAGTTCCCAATTTCATTTTATTTTCCTACCGCTCTACATGATTTGCATGCACGGAAAGTGTGGGAAAAAACAACAAAAAAAAAAAGGTTTAAAATGAAACTTTGATGAGCTATTACTCATATTGACAAGGACCCTCATTTGTCTAGGATGATTGGGGCAGGGATTGCTAGACTGATAGCGGTCCTTTCGGCCCGCATCGAGTATACGCAATGTGGCCCTGTCCAGACAGTTGAGTGGAAAAGTTTGCGGCCAAAAGATGATTAGCTTTCCTTTGAAAGGGTCACTTTTCCAACTCATTTGAAATGGAACGACATAAAAAAAGATTTTTGATATTAAATATGTTCATCAAGATGTATGGTCTTACAACTTAAAAAAATACTTGCTTATACTTATTACTTTTGGTAAATATTGTACAGACTTTTTAAGTGATCTTAATTTAAGAAAGCTTAAAGCTAGAAGTTTGCTTAGTAATATATTATTTTCCTAGATTCGGGTACAATTTTATATATTTTGTCTGGTCCCTGTGTATAATCCAATAATGATTTTCTGTTTAAATAAGAAAAGTTACGGATGGAATTGTAAGAATAATTATAGACTCCTTCCCCCTACTTCATTTCCCTTTTTATAAATGAATACATATAATATGAATGTTGAAATGTATTTAAAATTCTGAAGGATACATTACAGCAATATTTATGGGATGATGTGTGAAAAAGCGGAGAAAGGAACACAGGAAGTACGGCACATGCGACACGTCAACATTCAATTTTCTAATGAAATTTTTATTATAATAAAGCACATATCCAAGGCGTGGAAGGTTGTAGACCACGCCCACCGACAGTCGGTGCTAAAGTATTCATGGGAAACAGTGTTGCTTTCCTTCCTGCTCTTTCCTCCCCCAGCTTTTCCGACTTACTCTGCCCAACATCCGAAAATTCTGTGTATGTATAATGAATTCTGGCAGTGTATGGGGTGGTTGGTGGAAGTGGGTCTCTGTGTGTGTGTGTGACCGCCTCTCTCCTTGGCAGAGTCCAACATGACCTACATTCTGGATCCGGGGCCGATGTAGCTAAGCAACTCCAGGGTCTCTGAGCCACCATCTCACCCTTGGCTTCATCCAAAAAAACAGGAAGTCCGGGGAGCACAAGGCGAAGTGGAAGAACCAAGAGCAGAAGCGCACGCAGCACGCATAGGAAAATGGACTCCCCTCTGGCGGACCCTCGAGCCCCTCTACCACCCCCCCTGCCACCCTCAACCCAGTCATCTTCCCAGTCAAGCCTTATAAAAATTGTTTTCGGCTGCTTATTGGCAACAAATTTGCGTGCCTTGCATACAGAACAATGGCGAAAAAAGGCTGGGTACATTTGCACACGGTAAAAATTCCCTATATTGAACTTTTCTAAATCGAAAAATTCAGAATCACGAGCCCCACTCCACTTTGTGAAAAAATGCCAATTTCAATTTGTATTTCAGATTTAAATGCATGTTTCCATTATGCTTCTTTAAATAAAAATTTATTAGTTGCAACTTTCCAGGTTTTTTAGTTTTGAATATGTATAATTTGAATATGTATAACCAAATGTTTTCACTTAAACTATCTCGACTGTATCCAAAGAAAGATGAGAAACCTGATAAAGGTTTCTCCCACAGCGACTTCATTACAAAGTTTGCCAAAGCCAAAATTGTGTAGGCGCTAAATGCAACAAATACAGCAAACAATTTATTAACTTGGTCCAAAGAGATTTTCACAGGCTTCGCGAGGAATCCGGCAAATGGAAAGTAAACGGCTTGGTTTACCGCTAACAAGTGAATTTTTTTTGTTGCTCCCGCTACGCAATATCATCAATCATTCGGCCAGGACATTTGCTGTTTGGCCTAAATTAAACAAGGAAGTCCGGAGATGAACAGGGTATATGTACCTAACAAAAACGAAGGAAAAGGAACACCGTGCACGTGCGGCCATTTTGTCGCTTATTGTTGACTTTGGTCAAACAGAAAATGTATAAGAAATATAATATTTGAAGATGATCCGAGCCAAACGATAGTCAGCACGTGCTGGGTATTTATGAAATAAAATATCCAGCTTATATCACAATTAAGTGGCAGCGGTAGTTAGATGAAAAAAAAGATACGGGAACAGTGCGTGACAAAAATATGCAAGCGGTTACAGAAAAGCAATTTAAATACCTAATGCAAAAATGACTCTAATTAAATATTATTTATGGGGTCTAACTTTTCGATCAATATAATTAAGGAAGTCTTTGCTGTTATTAAAACATGGCTGTTACATCTTTTTCAGGACAAGCCAACAGCTACAACTGATCCAATTAAAGTTTTGTGAAACTGTTTGCTTAAAATCTTTGTGAAACTTGCCAAGGTCTTGGAATCCTTGATTCGGCAATCCTACTTGAATTTCAATTTCATTTGTTTTCCAAGCGTAGCGAAAGTTAAATCATTCTCAACTTTTGATAGTTTATTAAATTATCACAAGAAAAGAGAAGAGAAAAATGTGCGCCAAAGCGAACAAAAACTTTTCTAATAGCAACAAAAATTTGAAACAGGCAAGTCGATTGGGTGGGGTTGGATGGATTCACTTTATTAGCCAAGTTAACTCTTTCCAGGGCCTTTACGACAGTTTGTTCTGTCGCTCGCTTCACAGTTCAGAACATTCAAATTACAGAGAAGGTTGGCAAGTCAAACCAAACGGAAGCAAAAGCCAAAAGTTCTCGGGGCAACTTGAGTGCAAGTTGCTCCATAAAAAGTGCCAAACATTACCAACCCAAAATACATGCCAGACTGCCTCGGAACAGACCCAAAACTAGAGTCCAAAGTGTAACTGCCAAACGGAAACGAGGCGGGGAACCAACCAAAAAAAAAAAAGGAAGAGCCATGAAAAATTCAGCTAAAACTTGTCCAGGTGGGCGGCAGGATTCAATGGGCTGGGCACCACTTCATTTGCCAATGCGAACGTTTCCTGTGGTCCTCGCTCAGGTGACAAAAGCAGGTGCCCGACCAAATGGATCCTGCCTGGCGACTGAATGCGTTTCGAAAGCCAGTGAATTGTGGAGGAGGAAACTATAACTGTTCTCCAAGGCTGAATTATCCTGCCTTTGGCTATTTTCTAGCTCGAGAATCTCTCTCATAAGGATGCTTAAATGGAATTTAGCACCGTAACTGCCCGTTTTCCTGACATTTGCCTCCAATGAGAGGAAACTTTATATTAGTTAGACCTAATTGTATTTAATTTTCGTAGAACGAAAGATATTCTTTTTTTGTTGCGTATACTTAATTAAAGTTACAAAAAAATAATACAACGATATTTATAAGGGGTTCTTACGGCTTATTAAAGTAGAAAAAATGTAGCAGTTTATAAATACTTTTTAATTTTACATAAATACATTATCTTTACTTTCTCAAATCTGATAAATACGAAAACGGCTGTTTTTAAAAATTCTGCTTTTTAGCATCCTATTCTTAACTTAAACATCTTTGAATGCACATTAAATCCCTAAATTAAAGGAGCAAAGTCGCTAGATCTATTTTCCTTGAAGCGGAACCGTAATCCTCGCTTTATCGTGATTATCCCATCCCATCCAACTCAAAGGAAGACCCAGGGGCATATCTTTAGTTTCCGCTGGTAAGACCCAACAGCCTGACCTTCCCGTTGGCAGACCGAGCATTATAATAACACTTTCTCAAAAAGGTTCTTTATGGGGTTTCCACCCCACCCCCGACTACGAACCACCACCCACCATTAAGCACAGTTAGTTAGTCGTTTCTTGTTTCTCGTTTCCCTTTCCTTAAGTCCATTGTTCAACGGTTTCTTCTCTCCGCCATTTCTCCTCTCCCCTTTTTCTCCTAGGGGCTGTGTGACTATGGCCGAAAGTAATCTTCCAAGGCAAATGTGAACCACAAACAAATTTATAGCTGCAATGCGGCCAGGCCGAGCATAACGGGCCCACATTTCTGTGAAATGTAGATAGAGGGCTACGGCTAGAAAAGAAACTCAAAAGGAAACAGTCGAGTGAGGACTATAAAAATATACAACAATACTGCCAAGGCAACGGGACATAATGAGCCAGGGCCAGACGGCCCGAAACGGTAAATGGTAAGCGGTTCTTGGGCTGTAATCGGTTAACGGTAAAGGCGAGCTCAGCTGAGCGAATGTGGGCCATCAAAAAGAGAGAGAGAGAGACGCCACTTTCAATACATCTCTTTTGGTCTGCTCCTTCTTTGCAGTACCGTTAGCGTTTTTCTGCTATAGGGCTTTGCCATTTGTTACGTATACGCAGGACTCTCTTTTATGGTCTCTCTGTAAAAAGCAACAGCAGATTTACCTTATTTTGCTGCATATTCCAAGGCGCTCTCCCGCTCACTACTTTTACCATTGTTACTCTCGCTCTCCCACTGTTGTCCTCCCACTCTCTTTCTTTCTCTCTCTCTCACCTCCTGTTTATGCGTCATTTCTTTTGGCTTTTTCTCACTAATCTCTCTTTTTGGCCAGTGGTTCATCTATCGTTCATCGCTTTTCTTACCAGCCAACAACAAATATTATTTCTTGCTCAATTTTATTTTCCTTTCTTTTACTTGCTTTCTTTTTTTCCTGCTGATTCGCATTGCAGCATTTTACGCAGACAAGCGAGCACATTCTTTTCGATTGAGAGAGAAGGGAGAAACGGGGACTTTGCGACGTTTTCAGCAAATGTTCGCCATTCATTTTTGTCATCGCCGCCATTGTTGTTGCTGTTGCTGTCGTTGTCCTTGTTGTTTCTGGCTCAAATGGTGCCTGGAAAAACTTTTTGGCCTCGCAGCAAATGCTTCTTCTTACTTGTTGCGTTTTGTCCTGGGTCGTGCAAAAGGGGGGAGCAATATAAAAACGGAATGGGAACGGAATCGAAATGCTTGGAATAATTTGGAATCCACCACTTTGAGCTTTTATTATAAACAAACTGAATATCTCATTATTATTTATTTGTTAACATTTTAAAATTGTTTGGAGGTTTATATTGGTTTGCAGAAATATATATTTAATTAGGGATATTTAATCTATTTTGAAGAGTATTGAAGGTATATATTTATACAATTAAACGAAATACTAAATAAATGAAAGTTTGATTAGAAAATATTATCTTAACTAACATTAAAAGAAACATTTTCTAACACAGTTTTGAAATAAAATAATTTATTGAACAAAATATGGAATCATCACCGTAGTGAATGTGATTTTTGGCAGTAGCACATATGGTTTTCCAGATTAAAACTCTTCTCTGGCACCCCTTTCATCCCATTTTCATTAGGTAAATTTTCCACCTGAGTGAGGAACTTTTAACCAACCTTCCCATCCCACCCACATTGTTCTGCATTCACAAGTTCGTTTCATGCTCTTATGGTTTTCTTTTTTCCCAAGCAGACCCCTCTGCACCGCATTCTCCCTCGTGTGCTTTGCTGCAGCAGCTTTCATTCATGCCACGTCAGTTGACATAATGCGACATGGCCAACAAACCAACCACCAACCATCCCCTAGACCACCCACAAACATCCACCCACCACCCACTTCATTGTCAACTACTGCACTTGGCAAAAGTTTTTACTAGTCATTGCCGTGAAAGTGCCATTCAAAGCTCCCGCCCCGCACCACGCCCCCTTTTAGACTGCCATAAGTTTGCTCCTTGATCGGAGAGGGTTCCATTCCACACGTTCCGGCTTTGTAGCCTGGCAACTTGGTAAACACAGTAAGCCATGTTTGTTTATCATTCAAAACAATAACAAACTAGGCACAGAACTCGAAAAGACCTCGACACAAGCATACACAAGGAATTTTTAAATCTACAGCAAGAATTATAAAATAAAAAAAATATACAGAACTTATGTTACACCAAAAGCGTAGTCAAATTAGTGTCCTGTAAAATACTTACCAGGGAATATTTAAGGATCTCAAGAAACCCAAAGCATAAACATACATTTTTTGAAGGAGTATAACGGATTATTTGTACAAGTATTGCGAAATATAAAATACTATAAAAGAACAGATTTTCTTCAAGACCTTAACTTAAAAATACTTCAAATTCAGACAGGACTACAAGATCCCAGGAATGAAAACCATTCAAAGTTAGATAATATACCTAATGAATAACGGAATTAGCATAGATCCGTAGAGCCTACAAGTAAAAATGGGTTGGTATGAATTCAAATCTTTATTGCATAGAAGTCATCACTCAATTCTTTTTCAGATACAACCGCCGAACGTCAGGTTAGATTGGAAGGAGTTGAACGGGTGCTCAAGATGTCGCAGGAGCGCATTAAGATTGCGATGATTATTCCAAAGCTTTTGGAGCATCCTGAAAAGCTAAAGAGTGTGCTGATGGGCACCTGCTACGAGGAAGTCCTTGAACCCATCGATAGTATGATTCGCCACCTTGGAAAGCAGACTGGACGCTCTAAGCTGCCGCACGATCACACCACTATGAGAATTGTGGATTTCTTTCTGGTCAACCATAACATTCACCGATTCTTCCCGCACTTGAAGCATAGCCTCAACGAAAGGGATCAACAGTTGCTGGCCGCCTTTCACTTTCTCCTCGAAAGCGCCCACTTGCATCTGCACCGATCGTCGCGCAGCGAGATCACCAAGGAGCGAAAGCTTCATGCCATCTACCACCAGAACGTGGACATCCAGAAGAAAATCAAGGAGCTGAAGGCCAGCCTGGCCTTTCAGAAAGTAATTGGCAAATGGAAGACGGCCGCCAAGGGAATCTATCTGATGAAGGTCGAGGAGGATCTGGCCAATAAGAAGTGGCAAAACAACGTGGCCATTCAGAACGAAATGTAAGTGAAAGTCATGAATTTTTACTTAATATAGTTAAATAAGAAAAGAAACGTTCTTTCATACATGTAAGGTCAGTTATCTCTCAACGATAAACGTACATTATTTCTTCCGTTTGAATATTTTGTAGTCCTGTAACTATATTGTTTATTATTTTTAAGTTCCTTTATATTTATTAAAATTATTTATTTACTATTCAAATTGTGTATAGACATAGTTTTTTATGTTTTTAACTGTAATATCTTTAAAATATCTTTAATTAAAATAAAAAACTCTTTTCGTGTAGTGAAAAGTGTAATCGCACCATGCGTAATTATCACAAGGGCAGCATGGAAAGGCAAAAAGAGCTGGAGGAAGAGCTGAATACGGCTCGGGAAACCTACGAAAAGATGACTAAGAAGAACCTGACCGAGGAGCATGAGTTGCGTAGTGAGAAGTAAGGAAATTACTATTCATAAATCTATGATATATTCTTATATTATTCAACCCAAACCAGAAACAAATTGCTCCTACAACTGCAGAGTATGCTTAAAAAGTACGATACTAGTGTGGGTGAAAAGATGCGTGAGAATCTGGTGGCGCAGGATCAGTTCCTGGAGGCCAAGAAGATCCTCGACGACTTCATGGTGCAGTTCAAGCAGGAGGAGCGTGTCTATAAGAATATTGTTGTGAAGCGCGAGGAGGAGGAGCGTCGTGTTCAGCAGCAGAAGCTGGTGGTCTTTATGATGAATCGGGCTGCGGCCAAGATCCAGAAATACTGGCGCAAATGGAAAAAGGACCAGCGCAAGAAGAAGCGCCAGGGAAAGGGCAAGGGCAAGAAGGGAAAGTAGTATAATTCCAGTAAATTTACCTACCATTTCCACATTGTACAATTTATACGTCCTTTTTTTAAAGTTGATAAGTTCAGTTTACTTTTCCTCTTATATTGTTTGCTCTTTTGTTTAGCAAGCTTTGGTGGCATAAATTACCCAACCATATAAGAGTACACATGTATGCAAATTAATAATCCTATAAGAGCAAAGTCAAATGTTTACTTGCAATTAAATCATGTTTACTTGGCACTTGTCGCCCATACACATTTGTTTTTAGTACAGACACGTGGATAACCAATTTCTTGCTGGGAAGAGTTAGAAGGAGTTGCTTAAAAATTATAATAAAATGTATGCATGAAGGTGCATAAATAAATGTTAATCATCTGGAGAAGGTGCCTAAAAGTATGCTGTAAAAATTGTATTCAGCACTCACTTTTGTACTATGTCTTACGGAAAACATCGGATAAGATAAGAAATTATTTATCCATGGTTATTTTTAACACATAATCTGTAACCCAATTGCATATGATTTCTTATCGAATTGCGATAAATTTCAGCAAACGCATTGAGGAGGTTTTTTATTTTGGCGGGGTGAAAGGGCGGCTTGTGGGGCTTCCTCTGCGATTGCGAAAATCCAAGAGAGAATGAAAACGCCTGGCAGAATGTTTACCCAACACGCACACACACACACATATACACTCGCAGCGAGAAGGAGGGAAAAGCCGAATTTTCATGTCTTGCGGGGAGAACGAAAAATGGCGCATTGCTGTCGTCGCCAAGCGACAACGACAACTACAAACTGCGACTACAAACGCCCTTTTGGCCCGGCCCGAACCGATGTTTGCTGCATTGTTACTTCATTTTCGTTTTCGTTACCTAGCCCTCAGGCCCCTCAAGCCCCTCAAGCCCCTCAGAGCCCCACCACCCCTCTTATCGCCCCTTCTGGCATGTCTAATTTTCCAGAGGTTAACATACTTAACTTGTTGGCATGCGTTGCAAATGCGCCAAGGCTGCGTTGCACCAAGCGGCGCCACATTGCGACAATTCGCTGCGGCAAAGGAAATCGTACAGCAGCAGCAGCTGGAAAATGCGCAAAATCGCCAATGTCCAATGGCCAATTGTCCCAGTGTCCAGTGTCCAATGCCCAATGCTAAATCCCAGTGGAATGGCCATACATTCCGCATTGTAATTGCACACGCATCCGCTGACCACGGATTTTGTTGGCCAAACTAGGGATTTCCCCAATGATAAAGGGGCCAAACAAAATATGTAAAAATTCAACTGGGGACAAAAAAACATTTCCCTTTATACAAAAAAAAAGTATTATACAAATAATAATGGTTGTCAAATAAATGGGGTTACTTTTCTTAACATAATTAGTTATGTACAAAACAACACTGCGTATGTGCGATTTTGTTAAAATCAAATATTCATGGCAACGCTACGTATGAGTGATAACCAAAAAAATCATCGACCAGGAACACCTTATAAATTTGATTGTAAAATTAAAGGTGTTTTTATACCCTTGCAGAGGGTATTATAATTTCAGTCAAAAGTTTGCAACGCAGTGAAGGAGACATTTCCGACCCTATAAAGTATATATATTCTTGATCAGCATCACCAGGAGAGTCGATCTAGCCATGTCCGTCTGTCCGTCTGTCCGTCCGTCTGTCCGTCTGTCCGTCCGTTTCTACGCAAACTAGTCCCTCAGTTTTAAAGCTATCTGCTCGAAACTTTCCCAAAAGTTGTCTTTCTATTGCAGGTAGTATATAAGTCGGAACGAGCCGGATCGGGCGACTATATCATATAGCTGCCATATAACTGAACGATCGGAAAAGCCATAACTTTGGTGTTTTTAAAGATAAGAAGTTGGGACTTTCTATGGGTTTTATTTTTGGCCAATCAATCCGACATACCGAATTTCATAAGGATCGGCTGACTATATCTTATAGCTGCCATATAACTGATTGATCGGAAGTGCCATAACTTTGGTGTTTGTAAAGTTAAGAAGTTGGGATTTTCTATGGGTTTTATTTTTGGCCAATCAATCCGACATACCAAATTTCATAAGGATCGGCCGACTATATCTTATAGCTGCCATATAACTGAACGATTGGAAATGCCATAACTTTGGTGTTTTTAAAGTTAGGAAGTTGGGATTTTTTATGAGTATTAAGAATGCATCATATGAATAATTTTGGAGAATATAATTTACAGAGTATTCTGCAAGGGTATATCAACTTCGGCTCCGCCCGAAGTTAGCTTTCCTTTCTTGTTTATTCTGAAATATAAAAATAAAATAAATAAACACTACTCAAAACCGAAAAAAAATTCTTTAAAGATACAAAAAATCGGCTCTGGCTGTGGAGATTTAAGAAATAATGAATCATACATTTAACAAAATTATGTGAAACATACTGAAATCTGTTGATTCATGAAAGGCGTATTATTACGATAAACTTTAAAGGAATTTGCGAAAGAAGAATTTATAAGAAATACGATATATACTGTTTTGGATCATTGAATCATCAACTTATTAAAACATATGCCTTAAGCACATTAAAAAGTAAGTATTTTTTTTTGTAATCCCTTTTGTGAGAGTTCAGATTTACCTACATTTAATCAGTAACCCTTCAAATATATGTAAAATAAATTTAAAATTCGGCCAGACCCAATCATTTCTGATCGAAACCCAAAAAGAAAGCTTCTGTCATGGCCAAACGCGACATCCTGCCGGTGTTTCCCTCTCGGGCCAATTCGGTGATCATGAAGCAGCGGGTTTTGGCAGCGAGGAGGGGGGTGGGTCTTCTGAAGCGAAAGCGGGATGCCATCGACATGAAGCTGCGGGAGTTGCGGCGTCTTCGTTTCGACCAGGATGAAAGGGGAGATGAGAAAATGCGACATGCGATCTTCTCGATGGCGAAGGCCAATCTCCTGGGAGCCGATTTCAAGCCCCAAATGGTGAGCCACAGCTACGTGGCATCTGCATTTCTGCGCCGCACTCAGATCAAAATTGTGGGCGTCAAGCTCAACTGCCTGGAACTGGAGACAAAAGGTGAAGGAGCCTTTCCCCTGGCGGGTCTCAGTTGTGGAGGGATGCAGGTCCAGCGGATCAGGGACTGCTATACGACGGCACTTCGAGATTTGACGGAGTACGCCTCCCTCGAATACCAAGTGCGTATGTTGGAGGCAGCCTCCCTGCAGACCAACATGAGGGTCAATGCCCTGGAGCATGTGGTAATTATGTGTTTTTACTATCTGGATTTATCGAAAATATCGATATTTAAATATTTATAATTTGGACATTTTTTAAATGACTGAAGTATTGCTCAAGTGATTATCGGACAATTATGCAAAAGCGTACCAGCTTTTGTTCGGTAGCATCATATAATCTTTTTAATTTTTTGATACTCTGTAGTTGTTATGATTGTTTCGATCATAACTGTTTTATAAAGGCTCATTTTCTTGTTATAATGTTGAACCTAAAAATGGTTATAATATTCCCAGTTATATACTTTTAGGTTATACCCGTCCTGATAAATACCTATAACTATATATGCGGGGAACTCGAAGAGTTTGAGAGAGAGGACTTCTACCGCCTGAAACGCTCCCAGGCCAAGCAGCTGGAGGCCAAAATGGCCTTTAGCGAGCTGATCAAGACCAAGAACATGACCGACGAACAGCTGGAGTCCTATATGAAGAAGACCATAAGTCAGGCCCGTCCGGTGGTCGACACGCTGATCGATATGGATGAGTTCGACGAGCAGGAGGTGAAGAGGCGGGTGCGGGAGGCCCGGATGTCCTTGCAAGTGCGGCGGGATTTGGAGAAAAAGGAGGCGACTGAACGGGGCGAGAATCGCCAGCCGACCACCTACATCACCACCCGTAGCGCCATGAGCATGGTGGGTCGCCAGCGGGATCCTCGGGCCAGCATGGGCGATCTGTACAGCACCAAGCGCCAGATCCTCTCCAGCGTTTCGGAGAGAAAGTCCCTGGCGACGGTGAGCGATAAAAGGTCTAGCATGGCATCAAGTAAAACACCAAGACCCAGTGAGGGAGAATCTGTGAAAAAGTAATTAAATTCGGGAGTTACAATGATTATTTTAGATGAATTTAAAATAATTAAGGTTTTGATGGCAAAATTGGAATTTATCTTTAATTGAACTTCTTAAATTTCAAAAGCTGCTAAGCACTATAAATAAACTTTATAAAAGGTATTTAATTATTTTAAATATTAAGATATTTTAATAGAATTCGACTAGGGAAACATTGGGGATTATAAAGTTGTCCTATATTGGCATCCAATATTCAATAAAATTTGCTTGACAGATAAGTATAGGGTATTTGTGGTCGTTTGGAAAGATAATTAATTACAGGGTACATAAGTTCACCACACCCTTATTTTTCCCCACGCCCACACTTTTTGGGAAAAGCGCCGGCGCGACCGTTACAACGGCAAATTCAAATTTTCGCCTTACGCAGGTGGGGGAAGGGACAAGCAAAAGCAACACATGCAGACACTGCAGAAGTGAGAGAGCTAGAGAGCGCCTAACCGATTGGCTAACCGTTTCGCTCTGGCTCTCGCGAGAGAGCCCTGCTTTTGATATCGGCGAAAATAAAACCGTATATATGGCGACGCAGCGCTATTTCGAACACAAAGTTTTTTGAGTCGTCGACCGTTGCGGACGGAAATCAGATTAGGATCGTGAGTTGCCAGAACCAGCTATTACATATAGAGCATTATTGGACCAACAAATAGCTAAACCACACACACCCAAGGACCCGGAGCTGCGAAAGTTCCGCGGAAAAGCCAATTTCTCGGCGCCAGCCAAAAATCAAGAAAACCAACGAGCAAAAAATGAAACAAATATCTGTATAAAAACCGAATCCGAGCAACTCTTATATGTATTAGCTCTCCCCGCCACATATCTACTATATAAAACGAGAATTCTGCCGTGTGCGCGCGTGTGTTTGGCATATTTCGCACAATAGCTGAAAAAAAAACGAATGAAAGCCACAAAAAAAAAAGAAAGAAACGCAAGGCGAAAATTTGTATTAATTTCGGCTGAAACAACAACACTACAAAATTTAAGAAACTGCCACGGCGAGGAAAAAAAAAGCGTCGGCGTCGCTGCTTTGGACGCTTTTTTCTTCTCTCCGAGTTGGCAGTTTTCTACTTCTTGCCTAAAGACCCCCCAAAAGTAATCTCCCCAAAACCTCTTCTTGCTTCTTTTGCAGTGTGTTAATTAGTAAAAAATAAAGTTAACCGCGCGTTCCGTAATTCCACTCACACACATACCAACACCCAAGCAGCAGCAGTAGCCGCAGCGGATTAAAACTTCGTCACTCTAGCAACAAAACAAAAAAACACCTACAAAAATGGTAAGTTTATGGGAATAGCTGGAAAACATGTGCATCTTTATTTTCTGTGTTTACACAACGTGCGGCCATCATTTTCCATTGAAATTTCCACAGTTTTTGCGAAAAATCAAAGTCAGACAGCGACCCCCAGGGCAATTACCATTAGTGCGAGCGGGAGGGGTCGAATGGCTTCCAATTAGACTTTGTTTATATGGTTTTAACGGCTTTCCACACACATACACACCTCAACCCCGAACACCCCGTCGAAAAGCAGCTGTCCCCGGGAATTTCGTTTACATTTCGCACCCCAAAAATATATCATGCTCATGGGTAGAAAAAACTGGTTTTTTCTACAAACCAATATTGTTGTTTTACAAACGAACATAATTCACCCCCAATACATAAATCATTAATCCTAGGTGGTATGTCCTGATTCAAGTACATTTTGGCTCTCTCATTGTAATTGGATAGTAGTTTGTACCCAGAATTCAAATCTTATGTTTTTCGATTTATTAGTTTTCTTTGATTCAAATGAAATAATTTGTAGAACTTATTTAAAATTCATACTTATGCAAAAAACAAAAGATAAGTTGTTTAAGTATGAGCTATTTTTTGTTCACAGTTTTCTTTAACTTTTTTGTTCAACTAAAGCTAAGTAATCAAAAGTTTAATTTTGCCCTGGGGGTCGCAGAAAATAAGTAGTACAATTAAATAAGCAATGTCAATAGCAAGAATTTACACACATGTCACGTCACTCGTCAAAATTATTATATTTCCAAGGCTGTCGCACACGAATCAAGTTTGCCCTATAATAATTCCATGACGCTAGCAAAAAAAAAAACCATCGAAACCCAATCAGGCGTGGAAATGTGGAAATTCTTATCAGCATCTCGAGCAACACCTCATTTTCCGTCCTCCTTTATTCCTCCTCGTCTCTTTGAAATCGTAAATCAAATATGATTTCGGCCAATTTGTTAAGCATTATGCACACACGCGTTGCCATCGACACTTTTATCAGCAATTTTTCAAAGATCCCCGCAAATTATAGAAATGCCCCCGCTCGTAGACCTCCATTATTTTGCTTATCAGTGGAAAATGTGTGAATATGCAGAATATATTGATGAACAACAAAGTTGCCGGGCCCGGCATTATCGGTCTCCTCCTTGACCCGCCGTTCGTTGTTCGCTCTATGCCTTTTGGTTGTATTTTTTATTTACCGCACAAAAATTGGAGGTTAGAAACGGCCAATGGAAATGGTGAAAAAATTCTTTTTGGTTCTCTCTTGCTCTCCCTCTCTTGCGCACTCGCCGCTCATTTTACCCGTTTCGACGCTCTCGCATTACCGTTTCACACACTTTCGCGTCTCTCTCTGTGTGCAATTATTTCGTTCGTTATCAGTTCCGTTTTGTGCTGCGTCTCCCTCTCTCTTTCCGTTTCTTTCGGTATTTCATTTTTTTTGCGCCTTGCGCTTGGCACTTTTATCGGCGCCTACCTTTTGTTGTTTTCTTCCATAACCGTTTCATTTGCCGCATTGCGGTTATTTTGCTGTTTCGCCTTCGTCTTTGTTCGTCTGCTTCGCTCGTTCATTCGTTCGGCTCGCCGTGTTCGTGTCCGTGTGTGTATCAGTGTGTCTGTGTTGGCTGCCTGTTCCACTTTGGCTTTTCGCACAAGAATTTTATTGTAACGGCACAGGCGAATGGTGGGGGAGGAGGAGGAGGAGAAAGAAAGCGCTGCAAATGTAGAAAAATTCCTGCTAGACGCCGCTTAACCACATAATCCAATTTTCTTGTCGCCCTCTTTTCACCTTCTTATTCTGTTTGGCCTTCTCTGCGACTTTTGATAAGAAACCCCGCCCACTTTATCACCCATCCCCACAACACCCCATCCCACCCACATTCAGCCTCATCTGGTGTCGCCTAATTTAATTAGCGATTTTTACAGCTCACGCAGAATGCAAACAGCTTTTAATTAAAATATATCGTACAGCTCTACGTGCCCAATTTGTTTCTGTGATTCGACTGCTAACTTGGCTAAAACAAACATTTGCCAGGGCTTTTGACTGATCTTCATAGTTTGTTGATCTTTAGCTAAAGCTAATTATGAGAAATGGTTGTATATGTATCTTATTTATTTCCGTTGAAAAATTAGCCAACATCCATATAAATTCCCATGAGTCAGTATGTGTTCTTGGGCTGACTTCATCGATCATATGGTGTATGATGAATACCCGATGATGTGAGTGGCATTTAATAAAGCCAAATGACTGGCTTTTGGCTCAACTAGCGCAGTTGCTTGAACCTGAGTTCGGATGCACTAAAAATGGACCCGAAAACCAAAATTAACTAACCGTCATTCATGAATCCAAACTAAACCCCATGAAACCGGTTGGGACCGGCAAAAAAGCGTATACAATACAACGGTAAACCGGCAAACTTGGCTTCAACATAAATTTCCAGTTATGACTTGTTTGAAGTTGTATTTGCCGTCAAACTTCTTTAAGACGAATCTTTTTACAGCCAAAAACATGTTAGCTGTGAATATATAGGTGATAAACGCATACATTTATTATGATAACTCAAATTCAATTATCTAATTTTAAATATAAAAAATTATTAATAGAAATAAACAATAAAGATAAAGAAAAACTACAATTTTATGTGAAGATGTATGACTAATGTTGTATAACTAACGGTTTTTGTTGTATCTTGAATTTAAAACCCTGTGGTCAACAACTAGAACCTCATTAATATGACACAAATATGTACAAATGTCATCATCATAAGTGAATCTCTTTAAGTGGATATTGATGGTTGAAGTTAAAAAAGTTTAGCTACTTTGGGTGGATCATGAGATCAAGACCATGAGTCATGGTCATAAAAGTAAATAAATAATCCTGATAAATACGCACAGCCTGAGTCCTTCTCCAAGGCATAAAATTTTGGCAGGCACTGTGTGCTTGCCTTGATATAGAAGCTTCTTCGGGATGCCGTGGGCGTCTGATTGTGCATACAAATGGATTACCAATTAGGCCTTAACCCCAACCCCCCTTCTCGATTAACGACCCCGCCCGATTGACTGCCATTAATGGATATCTGGTGGGTGGGGTCTGTTGTTGTTTGCATTTGTCGCCATTTAGGGAGAGAGCTTCAATCTGTTCCAGCGGAAATCTCTGAGCTCCGATGGGTGTTTCTGGCTTAGTCACGCCTGCCAATGACATAACCTAGTTGGAAATCGTTTTATCTGCTCAGACAGCGGCGATAAGCTTGGCAAATTCAATTGAACGCCAACGCGACAATCTCTGGGCCAACAAAAAAAACAGGTGCCACCACCGCGGCAGCAAACCTAATGTACTCGAATTTGCTGTTTAAATTCACCGAAATTCCCCCGATTAGATAAGGTCAAGCAGGGCGCTATAATTCCAATGTCAATCGCCGATTTGACTTTCTGTATTCCCTACTACTTACGGAACGGAAGTTGTCCATAAAGGTTGGCCAACATGTCTGAGAGCCATGTTTGTGTGTGATTTTTAAGGAACCCGATTTGGCCTTCAAGTGAGCATGCATAATTGTTTTGTGCCGCGGTGATTAGATAGAGTAGAGAAACTAAAAAAAAGATCAGTACATTTTGTTTCAACTTTTGTACTGTTGATCCCAAACCATTAATTAATTATAATTGCTGTAGATTGAGTTGCCCTTTTGAATATGGCAAATTAAGTTGTTATTACATAGGATCAGAAAACAAACAATCGTTTATATACTGTTTCCATACATATCAGTTTGCACTTATCAGCTTGAGCAAATATATATAATTCACCCTCTGACGCAGGCAAAGTTTGCTTTTGCATTTTTGCTTCATG